GCTATACCGCCCAGTAGTGTTTGACCTACCGCTTGATTCGCAATAGCGATACCCATTGCCCTGACACTTCATGAGCGGCTACCATCCACATATACCCCTTTAAGGGTTTGCAAAGCTGCCGAAGTTCTCTGTCATCCAAGTTGAATTATATCGACTATCGTCAGCGTACAAATCGACTTTCGTGCAGTTTCCATACCACAAAGTATATCCATTGTCCCTCGTCTGAGGTCCTGGTTGCAAATGATTACCCTCTAACCGTGCATCAACCGATCCTTAACAGAAGTTCAATGCAATTTTGGCTCACTGTAGGGTACAGGTCTCGCTGATGCCAGTAATTATCTAATACCATTTCACAGACGGACTGTGTTCGCCGCTGCTGTCACCCGATCACTGTGTTTAGTGTTGATTCACTGAATAACCGACTCTGACTATAGGCAAGTTGTAGCTTACCTCAGCAGCTGCGATCAGTTAGTTGCATGATACTTCCTGGTGAGTATGCTTGATACCACGAACCTTGGCTTGCGTAAGATGTACATCGTCTGACATCACTTACCTCGGTCCAGCGTACCGTGAGTGGAGTACGTGTGAACTGTTTCTTTTCTTTCCAGGTCCTTGTACTTCAACCATCGCGATAAGGGACACCAACGCTTTGCACCCTCGTACCCACAATTCTGCCGGTAGTATGTAGCACCAACCGATACCATCAGGACTTTGCCCTGTGGTCTGGCGGCTGGAGCAGCCAGATGCAGGGTTTACACTTACGGTAAAATTCGTGAACTTCGTGCTACAGTAACGAGGTTGAGGATTTGGTCATCAATTAACCATTCAAATATCATAAGAATTATCTGCGTCGGACGACGCAACGGTGAATGGTCAGAGTGCATAAGTTCTCTTGTTCTCTTTTTCTATATTTATCTTTTCATCTTGTTCCCCCTTCTTTGTCACCGTCATCCTTTTTTGGTTTCTTGGATCCGATGGGTCTTACATCCACATCCATGACGTGAGCTTACCGAAAATCAAATCTACGAAGCACACTTCAGTTATTGTGTGGGAAGAATAAGAGTTCTGGGGTTTGTTTCGTTCAGACATACTTTTCGGTGAACGGACGTCTGAATTCCATACGCACTTTCTTTCATCACTATGCACTCATATCCTCTCTTTTGTAGATAAGCGGCTTCTCCTGTGCTTGTGTTTTTCGTCCTTCTATATCTTCTTCCGCGAAAAATGACTTCGAAAGCTGGTATTGTTGATCGCCAGTGCAAAAGAACCTGTGATCGATTCTCCTTGTTTGATCAGAAAATAGCAGTTGAAAAACTCACTGGACTAACCCTTTTGGCTGAAAGCGTTGATTCTGCGAACTCTATGTTGCCTGGTAAGTCCATTAGAATCGTTATGTGAATTTTACTCCAGCCTCCCTCGCTTCGCCAACGGAGCCTTTGTATTCGAACTATGTCTCTTCACAAGATAAATTCATTTGCCAGATTTGTGGCGTGGACTTGTTAGACGGTTCGAGGATGGTATGCACATTATTCAGACTCTTCTACCGCATTTTCAGAGGAAACACTTCAGGACAGAATGGCATCTGTGTAACGTGAACCGAATTCGAACCAACCAACTCACTCTCTCGCTAGCGGACTTCAACCTTATCAGTACCACTAACCCGACGGAGCTTAGATCTGTTCAGAATGAGCTAAATGACACGGCCGGAACGGAGCAACTGGGTTCCTCATCTGACCCGCCGCCACTGACTGCTTCCTCTCACAAACAGATGATCTATTTTCGGAACAAGTGTGGCGAAATTGTCGGGATTCACCGGTGCATCCTGTTTACACCAAAAGTGCGTCGAGCTGCTATTTTAGATATTCTCGAATCGACTTAATCGTAGCCATCCTATGCTTGCGATCAGTAGAATTAACCTGCTCTTCTTCACAGGTTGTGAACTTTTCACTCCATACAGATGGTTGGGTTTCTTATTACTGACGAAGTTGTGTCCGAGGATGAGGGGAGAGGTATCCGGTCTCTACTGGAGACCGCATACTAAGACGTAGCTGATGAGGACTCTCCAAGGAGATAGTTCCTCCTCGGAGCACCCTTCGTGGAGGCTGCAGAATGAAAGGGGTGGATTACCAGAAGCGTGCGTATTGTGAGTACTGTTAGTCTTTCAGGATGGGATCCCCGTGGCTCCCTTTGACCCTCACTCTAAATGTTCCTAAATATGGTGGTTGCTGATGTCAGTGGCATCCAGACTGAACGCGCGTGAACAACTTAGCTGGCTAAGAGCCTGTTCTCAGCTCCGGTTTCAGTGCACTTAAATAAGTCGTCGTGTTTGTACGACAATCATGCGCCACTGTTAGTAATCCGGCATTATGGTCAGGTCGTACAGTTGAGAGTCTAACTTGGGTCACCATATTGATTCCCCCCAATGAGTGAACAGCATACAGTATGTAGGATAAGATGTCGATAACATAAGGGCATGTCGTCAGCCGGGTCGATTTACTTGCTGCATGCAGCAGGGCGGATAATCGAAAACAGGCTACTACTGACGCCTCCCTTCTTTCTCTTTCACATACTTTTTCTCCCCCCTCTCCTCAACCAATTAATAACCCTCCTCTTGTAGGCCCCAGCACTTAGGACTGATGACTCCGTTTTGCGTAAAGCATCTGCTCGTCACATTGCGCCGACATCCTCAGACATCTCCAAATCAATCTTCATGCCTCGACACCCAGTCTATCTGGCCGCGTTCACTGTCCGCACTCTGAAGCAAGCAGATCAACAAGCTGTCCTTGCCTTAACACTGGACTTGCTTTTCTCAGAAACAAGAATTCAAGATGCAAGCACAGTGGTTGAGCTAACCTCCCCATCACTCTCCACTCGCCTCCGGCTACGCACCTCTGGTGATCCAGAGGCTGCTGCGGCGGGATGTGCAGGGGTTGGTGTCACCCTAAGTCACCGGCTGATATTCACCTCTGTGCGGTTCGTCTGGCAGCCTTCCGCGTGATCCTCACTGCGCCTGGTTGGAGACACTGCAAGATATGGCTACGAACCGATATCAGTAGCGTCCTTTTTGTCAGCTTCTATCCAGATTTACTGAATGAGTGGAGGTCTAGGTACCTTGAAATGATTGTCGTAAGCTATCACTTAGTTCATTCCCCGTTCACCTTTATTCTTTTCTTCACAATAAGAGTTTCAAATATGGGGGATCGAACTGTAGCGCTCTTTCGGTGCCTTGCTGCCATGCCACCAGAAGGAAGCACGAGGACTGGGATACTGCCAGGTTTCCCAAGCCTAGATGGGGGAAGTCAAGAGGCAGACTTCGGGTTTGAGCCACGGACCTTCTGGTCAGTAAATTTGCGCTCTAACGAATGAGCCACTGAAGGCTTCCAACTAACTCATGATTGTACAACAGCGAAGCATCAGTGTTGAACATCGTTGTCATGGTGGTTGCTGAATATGAAAGTTTTTTTAACACGCAAACTCCAAGTCGGCTCTTTTCTGATTAGAAGATCTATGGCATTTGAGAACCGGCATTGGAGCGGGAGTTTTAAGCAGGATGTTTTTGTAAACTAATGGAAAGGTGAAGAACTTCGTTGTTATCGCGGCAGTGGCTGACGCCACGTTTGTCGTGCGTCTAACAATGAATGCTACATGCTCTGTCTTCTCGCTGACCATTGAATTCATAGACATCTGGCGGCCGGTGGAGAATCGAACGACGATAGGTAGCGTTTTGGACACAGAACCGATTATGTAAACAAAAAGTGATTGGATGGGATAGCTACGCTCAGCCTCATTTTGTTTTAGATGTTCTTTTCGTGTACAACATTCGGCAACAACCACCAGAAGGATGTCTTTGTACTGAGTATTTGCTCGTCTTTACCCCATCGCCGGTTTTTCCCAGTTGTTTCTTTCTCACGCAGAGTTTGCCGAAAACTTTGGATGAGTTGTTATCCTGTATCACTCGAGTCCGCCAGAGCCGTCGTTGGGCCATCCTTCTCTACTCCGGTGGGAAGTTTGCCGGTGGAATCTTTGACGGGTGAGTGTCCTCTCCCCTGATGTTTCTATGTTCTCACTTGTAGTTCCTTCCACCTGAATTGGCTAGACTTTCAATCTTCTCGGGACAATTTGGAAATATTCTCCAGCCTGCTGAAATGTAGATTGTGCTAACTGAGTTCCACGCTTACAACTTCAGGGCATGTAAACCCATTCCTTCGGCTTTCATATACAAACCTGCGTAGTCACTTCAACTCTGAAAGTACATAAGCAGCTAACTCTGAGCTATGTTCACCATCTTTAATTCCAGTGCGCTTTTGGCTGTGGAATAAATAAGACAGAGCACAATTTACCACCCCCAAGTGGATGTTTACCCAGCTGAGGATGTGCACTCATTTGCGAACGACGTAGATTGTAATGAGGCACTCAAATAAGTCAGAGTTTTCAGTGAGAATGTCAACAATGTTCATGCCGATCTCATCTCAACGAATGGTTTGTTGTTTTTCACTTTTTCTGTTTTTGTTTTTAAGAACTTCTGAAGTCGTTCACAAAACGCTACAACACTACACGGTACGTGCCAAACAGGGCGGCGGTCAGGCCTCGTTTGATGCAAGTAACTTTGGCGGAATGGCTGGTGCCAAATCAGCCGGTGCTAGTCTCCGGCGCCATGGTGAGATGGCCATACGAAATGTGAGTCTTCGGGTATCATCTTCATCCTCATCTAATCTACCAGTGTCGTGCAATTCCGTCTACTTGTGTAAGGATACTTTAATGGTTCAACTGTACCCCAGATTTTGCTATTTTTCCCGAGCAAGTTAAATCGTGTCATCGCTATCCTTGTAATCTCTGCGTGTGTAGAGTTCTTGAGTCTAGAAACCCGAACGTGAGATAGTATTATTTTTGAGTAATAAAGCTCTTCATGGGGTAGCCGACACAGTGAACAACTACAATCTTGAAGGTCAGATCTCGCTGAAGAAAACAGAGCACTGAAGCTACCTGTTTTGGCTAATATCAAATATCGATCTAAGCTGTGGTGGCTGGGGACGAAAAGACTCACTTGCCTACAGGTTTTCTGGGTTCTTCCGATTTTTAATCTGTCTGTTTCTTGGTTGTAGGTGCCATAGTTTTATTCCCCGGTCGTATTGAAATCGCGGCAGGACTGCAAATGTTGGACAGTAACTAGATCGTGATTCTGGTTGGTGAGGAATGACGGAGGTAGCCATGAATTGAAGACTCGATTGAATGAATGCGTGCTTGACAGGACCTTGTCTGTCCGTGTCTCTTACCATCACTGTGCCCATTGTCAGGGAGCTAACAGCTGACAACGCGCTCGAGTTTTTCGGGTATAGCCTTTGAGCTTCCCTGTCACGTCATTAGCTAATCTCCGGTCGCTCTAGTCTATCAGGAAATCGATTCAGCAAGAATGACCCCGTAGAAAAGTTCGACCAAGCTATCACAATCTGTGGAACTCCATTAGTCACACGTATAAAGTGAACTTCCTTCTGTATAAACTATTCGAGTTGCGGTGTTCCTACAGAACTCAAACAGCAGTTTGGAGACCACATGGCTCAAACACTAGAATTCATCCGGCCTGTACAACAGAATCAGTCTTGTCGGGGGGAAATACAAGCTGTGCTTTGTACTTTCTTCTTCTAACACTGGAATCATTGACGAAAGTGTAACGTTTTCGCTCCGTCAGGTTAGTTATGTTCTACCCGCGAATTTGCCACCGATAACTTGCCCGCGCCAATCACAACTTAGTTGAACTGGTCTAAATACTTGAGAATTCACATCCATACTCTCCTATTCGAAATAGCTCAGCACGAGGCTACTTGTCGGAAGATCTGTGAATTGTACTCAGCTTTTCTTGATCGCTTCTGTCTGGGCTTGGGCATTCTGGCCCTTCTTTCGGGTTCATATTGACAGCGAGATGGACCAAGTAGTTAGAGCGCGAATTTACTGACCTTGGTTCGAACCCGACCTCTGCCTCTCGAATCCCCCTGTCTTGGCTTGGGAAACCTGGCAGTATCCCAGTTTTCGTGCTCCCTCTGGATGGCATGACAGCTAGGCACCGAAAGAGTGCTACAGCTGAACGATTTTTTATAGTGACAACTGCACGATGTTTCTTCGTATTCGTTTCTTTTCTTCACATCGGTTTGTAACCGGCAAATAAAGTCTGAATGTCAAGGACACATAGAAACGAAATACCATGCGCATTTGACTACCTAATTTAAGAAAGGAAGTGAACATCAATACGAAATCTCTGGAGCTCGTCACCCAGAACCGAATGAAGCCCAGTAGTTTTGATCGCCGCAACGTTGGCCAATGTTTCTTCACTTGAAGATGATGATAATGAAACCTATTTATGGTTCGTGAGGCCCCCGGAGGCATGTATAACGTTTGTTGATATTTCCTCAAATTGTGGGACTGCCTCTGCCCTTTTGCGATCCACCGACTCATTTTTTTCAGTAAATACGGATGAATCGACCGAGGTTTTCCTCAATATAGATCCAGGGACGTTCAGTAGGACGAATCATGGATTGAACTGGTGATCCCGGCCTACTTGAATCGGACCTAACGAGGTGGGTTTTGAAACTAGGTCTAATGGGTCGGTCGGATAGCACAGCCAATACAAGAGTGGGAAGTTACAGGTGTAGCGGTGATACTACTGATGGGGAGGCATGCGAGTAGTGTGTTTTCTTGTAAATTCGCTCTGTCTCTTGAAAAATGAGATCTGTTGCTGAATTTTCGGAGTCGCTTTGTGGCATTTGCTTGGATATGAGCAACAGTCGATGAATATCTATGAAAGTTCAGAAAGTCGCATTCAAGATAAGATGGATATTCATTTTTTGTAAACGAGATGCATATGAGAGTTTTCAGTTCAGTTGGCATTTTCTACTAACTGACTCCGCAGAGGAGGCCTTCTTCTTCCACAGGTATCTGACGTGTGAACTACAATCGTGCCTTACTATTCCACCTGGGAGTGTACAATAAGTGTTTTAATCGTGAAAAATAATGCTACATGAATAACTCAAGGCAAGGTAATCAATAGCTAACTACCTAATCGATGAACACCTGTACAATTAATTGGTTAGTCTGTTGTGTTACCTGAGTTGGTTCAGTTCAGTTTATTAGCTGTAGCAAGTGTACATTGCTTCGATCTGCCACAGTTTTGGTCGCCAGAAAATGCGAGAGAGAGAAAAGATGTAGCCTAGTGTTGAAAACGAAGCCATGGTCAGTTAGTATGTTGATGTGGGGGAATCAGAAACTGGGTAGCCACGTAGTGAGGGTGTTGATGTAGGAATGCCACTGACAGTGTGATTGAGTCGGTCTGTCAGTATCATTAACCGTTGATGACTTGAGTCCCATGATCCCTATCCAGATAGACGGCAGTTATTGACCCTACTCAGTTTACTTCGTTGTCACCTCTCGGTCGCCTCCACTCAGCACAGGGCTTTGCGGAAATAGCTCTGCTAGATAGACACTCCTTTGACTTTTGAAGTACATATCCTGACTAGTGTGACTTATGGAGCGTGGGTAGCTCATCCGTTACCGGAATGGCCTTTTTCCTGAAATCATCTGGCTCACCTCAGTATTGCCGATCCGATGTTCCCACCAGACTTGGCCAATGCCTCAGAGACACTGACAACTTTCGTTCATTCCTTGCACATAGAGGTTACGTCCAGCACGGAAAGCCACAATGTCTTTGACGGACAACTTGACATTATTCCGGTGCCGTAGGTTGGCAAAAACTGTTCTCACTCTCTCGATTCGAGAAGCGATCTTGTCTCCGGCCCGTCAACAGGAACTTGTATGGCCGGACAACTTGACATTATTCCGGTGCCGTAGCTGTCACAGGTTGGCAAAAACTGTTCTTACTCTCTCGGTTCAAGAAGCGATCTCGTCTCCAGCTCGTCAACAGGAGCTTGTATGGCTGATCATGTACATAAATTTATCTACAACGTTGCCTTGCGTTACACCATTTGACGTGATCGATTTAGGCAACAGCCTGTAGTATATCCGTACGAGTCCACAGGAGTTCGCACACAGAAGAGGTAGGATTGAACAGAGACTCGTTTGATCGCCAAACTCAGCCAAGGTTTCTGACGATCGATGGAGACGAATGCAGCCTTCAGGTCGTTTATCTTGGCCATGTGTCCATTGGTCAGATTCCCTTCACGTATCATCCGACTGTTCTCTATTGTTTTGGACTGCTGTTTTCCCTTGATGGCAGGATGACTATGGTTAAGTGTCCGGAGGCCAGCCATCCCTAATAACCGAACATCACATTGATTGGATGGATGTGTCACGTGCGGGCTAGGGAACAAACGAAGGTATACTCTAATTGGTCAGAATGTCAGCCAGTCTGGATGGAGCATCTATAGCTCAACGCTTCTCGCCCCGTCACAGAGATTCTAGCACGACCTTGTGGAACATTCTGTGATTACCCCATAATTACAGATGTACTAACCTTCCTTTGTTTCCATAAAGGACTGTCTAAAGCTACCGTGGCTTTTGATATAGTGGGCGAAGCAGGAAACCAAGGTCCGGCACAGAGTTGCTCGACCGTTCAGCAAGTCACAACATTAGGGGGATTTTTATGAGACAGAGAGGGATTTGATAGGCTTTGGAGTGAGAAGTTCAAGTGTACATGTTTTTCGGTTATCCTCCGAATCTTTTCCCACCCTATAACCATGTACGTACGATATAAACCTTTGGCCTATTTTGTGGGTCAGGGGTCGATAATCACACTGACAGATATCAACGGGTACTCCATCATGCGTAGGTGTGGCCGGTTATGTGTTGATTTTGAATGTACAGGTGTGACGGAGAGCCAGCTTCCTCGGTAGTTCAGTTGCTAGAGTACCCGTCCCGCAAGAGTGAGGTCCGCCTTCCAGATTTATCTTTCCGCTCATTTCAAAACCATGAAAATGGCCCCACACATGTGAATCTCTGAGATGAGAGTAGCAGAGGAGGGAACGTGAAAAGTAAATTTTTCTCCCGCAATTGGTTGCCTTTCGCTCTACACACGTCCGGAATAGAATGAAACGTTTCTTTCAGTATCAATCCGCGTATCCCGGCTACCTATCTGTCTGTGAGACTTGCATAACTAATGGGAACACAACGAGCAACAAAGTTAGCTAGACCAGTCATACATCCGATGAGTCAGATTATCAATGCTCTAACAGGGACTTTTATCTTCTCCTGAACCACTGGAAGACCCTCCTCCTTGGTTTGAACCACTTGTTTAAACGGTTGATATCATCAGCGCTGCTGCTATGTTGTGAGGTATTTTGAGCAGATTCGGCTTGACTGAGGACTGAGCTCAGGATTCATGGACACCGTAGGTTGGCGTAACATGTCGCAGTTTCCATACAAATTTCAAAAACCCCGGAATGTGGGATGAAGTGGAAAACGTTGGCAGGAAATCGGTCCTCGAAAGGGAACTTGGCTGAGCGGTCTAGGATGCAGTTTAGGACAGAAATTCTATTCATTAATTACTGCTCCAAAAATTTGCCAAAGATCAAACTCCGCTCAGAGGAATTATCTATTAGCCACATGGACGCTGTTGACTGGAAGAACTTTCTTCGCGAAGTTTGCGCCTGGCGGCGGCTTTGCAGACTCCAACAGTTATTGGCGGCCCAGGTCTTCACGTCAACATCAATGAAACGCTAATATCTCGCCGTATAAACCAAGCAGGGCGAGTTCTTCCCCAGCAGTGGATTCAAGGAGGGATCTGCCGGGTCGAACTGCGGCCACTTTGCTGGACACAATCCAAACCTGCGTCGCTCCCGGCTCAGTCATCATCTCCGATATGTGGGCATCATACCAAGGAATTTAAACGATGATTGACATGAACTATACTCATGAAACGGTTAATCATACTGAAAATTTTGTGGATCCAACGACTGGAGCTCACACACAAATCATCGAATCTCTTTGGCAGGTCAACAAGATGCAGAACAAACACCAATGCGGCACACACCGATCTTTAGTGAACAGCTACTTGTGTGAGTTCGTTTGGAGGCAAACCGACCTTTTCATGCATGTCCTCTCTTGTTCTTTTCACGAAATGTCCCCATTTCGTCCTCTTCAATAAAAACCAAAAGTACAAATTTCATATCATTTTCTTCCTATTTTTTTGGTTGGCGGGCGGTAATTTTTTGGTGGGGCTTATCTGGAAAAGATCCTTGGGTCTTACATTGAATACTTCGTAGTGCATAATCCTGTTCTACCTTTTTGCCATTCATCCTGTCTGCGTGTTTCCTGCTTTCTTCCCTTTAATTATCACCTGATCGACAAAGTTGGGGGCGAGATGGCCCAAGTGGTAAGAGGGCGAATTTACTGACCGAAGGTCCCCGGGTTCGAACCCGATCTCTGCCTCTCGACTTCCCCTGTCTAGGCTTGGGCAACCTGGCAGTGTCCCAGCCCTCGTGCTTCCTTCAGGTTGCATGGTATCTAGGAACCGGAAGGGTGCCAAAGCTGATCACCGCTTCACTTTTACTATAACTATAGTGTTCGTTGGTTTCATGTCACCCACTTTAGGTTTTCCCAACATCATGTCACATCATACTCCAACCACAATCTCTATCTTTTTCCATCCTTCCATGCACTTCACAGGACATTAGTAACTTGCTTCACAATCGATGGCGCGCTCACCTACAGGCTTGCCAGCTTATCTTCCTTTGGTCTCCCAAAGTACATCGAAACATATTCTTCAACCCACCTGACACGGTTTTGGACGTCCCGAAAGAATCCACTTGTGAAGGAGACCCCAGTTCTGCTCCCGCACCCGACCCACAATCGGCAGCCGCATGTCAGGCAAGATTAGGCATGACCGCTGATGATCCCCGCATTCATCGAGTGCCTTGCCGGACCAAGCACATCACCTATTCACAGGTGAAAGAAATCCACAAAGAGTTATCCACATTTGATGTTTACGGTAATCCTCGTAGCTGGTTTTAGCCTCATCTGGTTTAACATCACTTGAAACCATTTGGACTGTTTCATTCCCCTTCTTCGCACGCAGATGAGCACGCGAATTTGGAGTTCTTGGCCCAGTCAGAACGGAAACAGCTACGGCGTCTGAGTGAGAGTGGGGATGACACACTCGTGCAGACGCGATCTGGGAGGTTCATTTTGGGTGAGTCCTTCCCGTCATGTGTTTTTATCAACTGTTTCGTGTGTGTGATCACCAAGACAGTATTCCGGTTATTTCCTTTTATTTTTAAACCTCAAATGTAGTTAAATTCCCCCTCTGCACTCACAACTGCAAAATCGTAAGGGTAGACCGTAAAATTAGGAAATTTCTTTCGAATAACAGGCTTATGGTGTAAAGAGGCGATAAGCAGTGGGGGTGGGGAGATGGGTTTAAAAGGGCGCAAAGGGTAGGAAATGCAAGGGGTTCTCACAGTATTGTCGTTTTGGAAAAGAGTGAAGTAGGATGAAGTCCGTGGGGTAACCTCTTGAAAGCGGCAGCTCGTTCCTCAATGTTGTTTGTGCCAGGAAAAGCGAAAGTCGACTACAAAAACGGACCAATAGCTTGCCCCTTCCACCTTAGGTTAACTTACCTTTCCTCTCTCCGCCATCCCAGATTTTCAAACTCCACTGTGCATTCTAAACCAAATGATTGTAGCACCTTCAATTTCTCGTACTGGAATATATAGAGATATAAGTGTCGGAAAGCTACTCAATAAGGGACCCCCTGTACTTTGTGGCATTGGGGTTGTCACAAAATTTATTGGGTTCTCCCTCCCAAACCCGACAATGAACAGCAATTACATTCCCATGTGATTGACGGGATCCCACACGAGAACCGCCTTACCACTCGAAATTGGGCGCTGCTACTGCCAAGAAACTTGACTCGCATGCGATTGGTCAGAAGGTCGGGCCGCTTACCGGTCCAGCATCAAGGCGAACTCTGATTGGCCGAAAGCGTGGAGCAAATAGCCAATCACGGTTAAGTATCCTCCGGATGCCAATGCCACGCCTAGAAGGCGTCGGAATTTCCGAAATGTTATCGTCTCGCACACTTTAGGTACGGTGCATGGCACATGTATTTTTGACCTGGTTTTTGGCGGTTAATACGGTTGTGCACCTTTGTTGGTTTGTTACCAAAAAAGCTTGGAAGCTTCATAGTGAGAACTGAGTTGAGGCATTGCACCATGAGACCGAAAAGCCCCTCCATTAGAGACAGGGTTTTCTTACGTAACTTCTCCCTGTTATTCCGTCCCACTCGGCCGTGTATCTGAACGAATTCGGGGTGTGGCCGCTGGATAACCACTAATCACGCTTCAGACCGATTCGCTTTGTCTCGCGCTATTGTTGCCATGTAGTTACATGGCATAGTACGTCTCGTTCGCATATGCCTGCTTGTGTTTACAGGCCATAACTAAAGGTCACTCACTGCACACCCTGATGACTATGGGGAATCGATTCGAGGAAGAGATATATCTACTCTCTGGATGGATAGCCGTTTAAATGAAAACAAGTGATTCCTTCATTTGGTCAGTGCGGTTTTTATTCACGGTGTGTTAACCCAAAACTGTCGTCTTGTCGTGGCTGGCTGGCTTCCCCGGTGAAGTAATCCTGTAGGCTAAAGTACTCGGAACACCCTCAGCTGCGTTCAGCCGCGGAATGAGGACTGGCCAGGAACATTCCGATGATTAACGCCGAGTCCTTGTACTGGAAGAAGGCGTGCTACGCGGTGGTCTGTGGGTTCATGCTGTTCACTGCGTCAGGAGTTCGAAAACTCTAAGCTGTTGCCTCCAGATGACCAGCAATTCCATATTTATGAAGGCATCGATATTGTCTTTCCACCCAGGTAGGATGGCTTAGCGCATTTGATCTCCATCGACCTCCGCAAGAACTGACGAAGGGTATCCGCTGTATTTAGGCATCGTTTATATCTGCTATATATATATATATATAATATTAAAAGCCATAGATTGAGAAGGCAAGAGTGCGTGAGGGAGGGGACCTAGCGCTGGCCTATGTCAAGTATTATGAAGTGCCCACACCTCCAAGTGCTCAATCAGACAATCTGGAAAGAAACTGACAGCATGAACGCCACTGACATCGATTAGCCACCATTTCTTGCAACGTCTCCAGCCAAGCACAATTGAAGTCACGGGGACCCCATCCTGGAAGGCGTACAACACCCAAACTCTTTGTGATCTCTTTCATGCCTTTCTGCCAAGTCGCGCGCTGTCCACCTCGCGTTCGCGCCATCCTGAAGGAGGCACGGAGAACAACAGTCCTCTCGGTAAATGGTGTTTCGGCATGCGTAGCACATGACCGAGCCATCGTAGTCGATGGTGTTGGATGTTTTTCCGGATTGAGGTGCCTGCAGCACAACCGAACACCCGTTTTCTAATTACTTCGTTACTAACACGCTGACTTCATTCAGAACCGGCCACGCTTCTGAGGCATCGGTGGTCGAAAACTTGAAGGCACCTCCAATCATCTGTCCGCACAGGCCATGTCTCGCACCCATACAACAACGCAGCCCTTTTAGTGTAGCCTGATAATGTTGATGATGATCCCCATGTGCGAAGTGGTCTGTCCTCTAATGGAGCTTTAGAGGACAGACTAAAATTATCCTCATATTCACGTTGATTTCTTACCATCCTTGCCTGAGTAAATGCACGACAGTCTTTCTTATTCCCTGAGGAGCACACAAACACGTTCACTGGCGCCCGCACTTCGGTATCCGGAACTTCCAGATAGACGGTGAATTCCCCATTTCCCAATCTGGCTCTCTCTCTTTCTCTCGCTGTACTGAGTTCCATAGTCTAACAATTCTCAGTTCCTCGGCTGAAGCTTTAGAGTGAAACGGAACCCTTCCTCTTTTCCGTGGACGAATGACAGGTTTGTCGGAGCTGGCCGTGCTGCGTGTTCAAATAAAAGACAGCTGTTCATGTGGGTTAAACGCAGTAGTCCACGCGATGAAACCAATCAAGTGAATCTTGTTTAGAAAGGCTGGTTAGAACACTGGTTTTGAACACTTATTCCAGGAAGCTCTGATTGACGTAACTCGACCTCACTACCAAATATAGCTCATGTCTCTTTCTTGTTTTTGTTTCTTCCGTCGCCCAGCTCCAATACAAGTACTTGCTGCGAGAGACTCTCGGTCGTTTTCATCCCCGTCGGAGCTTTCGGATTCCGACGAGGCTTCCTCCAGTTCAGACAGCCCATCGGACAAAATGTCTGAGGCTGGAAACCTGTCTTTCGAAGGCCAAAAGTCCCCAGCTGATCGGCTTGAGGACGGGGCAAAGAAGACCGAAGAAACTACCGATGCTCAGAGAAAAAGCTTTGAAGGTATGTGGTAGAAAATAACAGTCGTTCAGCTGTACCATCCTTTCAGTACCCAGCTGCCACTGGAAGGCAGGGTGAGGTCTGCGACACTGCCAGGGAGCAGTCGAGATGCTGAGGTTGGGTTCGAAACTCAGATCTTCGCGCCTTAACCACTGAACTATATCAAGTTCTCTAAGGCATGTGCTTAGAAGCGAGCCCAAACACCTTTTGAGTATCAAAAACAACTTGTTTCTCGAAACTAGACAGGCGAGGCAAACTTTCCAAGCTTCAATGTCATACCCTGCGTAAAATCATTATTATTTGTACTTCTAGAGAGTTTTGTAGACTTTATGCTCGTAGTAAAACCATCTTTGAAGAACACCAACAAGTCGTCGTGTGAAGGTGGGCCTTTCCTTTGTTAGCTTTGTCAGTTTTTGTGTCTTCAACTAGGTGAATAATGTTCTTTGTACCTAGGGCGATACGCTTGTTCGCAAACATATTTGGTTTTATGGGAGACTCACCTGGAATTTTCATCCAAATTATACTCAGATGCACACAATTTAGTGCACAGTTTTCAAACTTCGCTAAAACTCCTTCGAAAATCTCACTTACATCCCGCTACCTGCATGCTCATTTTTACAGGGATTTTTTTCCAGTGAGATATGAACAAAGTTGTGTTAGACGTAATACACTACTCATAAAGTTTGTGGAAATTCTGCGACAGCCCACGGCTAATTTCGCTCTTCTTAGGGCTCATCAGGTAGGCGCAGTCCCCGAGTTTCCGTCAACCTTATGTTCTATTTGAACCAAAATTGCACGAAATTAGCGAAATACACTCATTTGCAAACGAATTTAGTTTTGCGGGAGACTCACCTGAAGCCCACCTGAACCTCTCGTTTGTGATATTTTGAAGCAAATGGATTCAGTCGGGTTCCAGGTGAGTTTCCCGCAAATCCAAATTTGTTTGTAAATGAGTGTATTTCGCTAATTTTGTGCAATTTGGGTTGGTGGGAACTCGGAGACTGCGCTACCTAATGAGACTCGAGAAGGGCGAAACCCGTCGTGAGTTGTCGAGGAATTTTCAGCAACCTCATGAGTAGTGTATTACATACTTCAGGGATGGTTATTTTAGCTCATCCTCCTCCAATAGGTCATTTTTCCTGGAGCACTATTTCAAAAGCCATCGGCGTGAAACATCCATTGTGTCAGTACTGTATCCACCTACAAATACACTTGATGTGTGACACGTGTGAGTCCATGTGTTTCAGTGAACTTAGCTAAAAGTCTAAGTAACAACTCAGCCGAAGTAGTACAAAAACAACCGAACATTTCGCCAACGCCACAGCACTCATCTTCATTTCCTTTCTCGAGCCATCATTCCACTAGGTTCTCGGGGGGACTTTTAGTGTGAATTTTCGCCGGTTTCTCAAGAATTAACGGGCCGTTTTCCGTCCACGTGGATGAATTTCACCCCGTCCTCAGACTAATGCGTCACTGTGGTAACAGCAACCTCCTCAGCTTAGTTCTCGGTCTGAGCCACCCAAGCTAACGTTCACGTCAAAACAACAACCAAAGGTGCACAAGGTGTATTAACGCCCAAAACGAAGTCAGGGACACTTGTACAGCGCTTCGCATATATAGCGTAAGCAGCAACAACCTTCTGGAAATTCTGACGCGTTCTGGATGCGCCATTGGCAACCGTCATTCGGCCAATACTGGGTCATGATTGGTTGTTGGGTCCAGACTTTCGACCAATCAGATCTCGCCTTGATGCCGAACCGGCAAGCGTCCCGAATTCTCGTCCAATCTTGCGTGGGACGAACCTCTCGGCCGTAGCAGCACCTAGGTGCGAGCGGTAAAGTGGGATCCATGTGGAATTCCGCCTAACAGTGTACCACGGAGTGTTTTTAAGCCTAGCTGGATTAGGCTGTACATCCGCCCAAGCTCAACTGCATTGTGATGCGAGGGCTAGGCGAAGTCGGTATTACACTGCAGCCAATTTGTGATAATCGTTGAAATGGCTAGTGCCAATGACAGCGCTATTTTTTCTCTCGAGATTTGTGATTAACTGGTGATTCGCTTCTATGAACACCCTCAGCGGAGGTTGTCAAAGTACGAAGTCACAACTGTTGGTGAATCGAAGTACCCAGGTTGCGTTGCTCGTTGGTTGATCTGTTCGCCGGGCTAGGCAGTGGGATTGCAAGTGGCCCGCCAGCAGTCTAGATCAAATCGTCGGTGTGGATTTGAGGTTTCAACGAATTCAATTTCCCTAATCGCGTTGCGGTTCGCTGGTGTGTGATCTTGACCATCGGTCGAAGCACTCATATCTTGACTGCTTAGCATTCTGGTAGTCTGCATATCAGACGGATTCCTACACGAAAACCATCTTACCGCTTGCAGCTGGGCGTTGTAATGTGCAGGGAGTCTAGCTCGCACGTGATTGGTCAGCAGATCGGGCCGCGTGTTGGATCGCAATCAAGCTCAGCTCTGATTGGTTGAAAATGTGGATCCAATAGTGCAGTCACTTGCATCCTTCGTTTTTTTAGATCGGCCACTTTGTCTCCATACGGTCCCTGTTTGAAGATGATTCTTACTGAAGGGGAAAAGATGGAAAGTCAAAGTTCTTTGTGGCTATTTCAACAACAACAAGTCAAAGTTCTGTCCTTTTGAGGGTATGCTCTCTATACGGGGAACCCATAGCCTCTCTGTACAATTGAAGTGCTATCAAAGTGTGACCGATAGTCAAGCACTACTTTTCCCTTCGTTTATGGATTGGCTTTCCTCACCGTGATCGCATGGATGAACTTGACATGTTCGCTAGGGGACCGTGCTGAATGCTGAGAATGAAGTTGGGCAGGAAGTAACCGGTGATGATGATGCAGTTCCATCCGAAGCCTGGGCTCATTTGTCAGGGTTCCGATGTAAAAACCGAGTTGGCGAACCGACCCGTTTCCGATGTCCATGCTTCGCGTGATCATGCCAGGGACCAAACTATAGGCTATAGCAGTCACTACACCTTTTCGACAGATAGAGTGAATAAGCGCAGTCCGTTATGGGCTGTGGCTGCCAAGGCGTGGGTAAAGAAATCGTTTAGTCGTAGTACCCTTTCGGGGCCTAACTGCCATGCCACCCAAAGGAAGTATGATAGCTGGGATACTGCCAGATCACCCAAGCCTAGACAGGGGAAGTCGATAGCCGGAGGTTGGGTTCAGACCACGGACCTTCCGGTCAGTAAATTTGCGCTCTAAATACTGGATAACTTCCATCTACATGCCGCAGGCCTTTTTTGGTTACCATTTGAGTTGACTTTGATCTTTCGGCTCTCCCTGGTAAGTATTCATCCCAATGGACTGTGACGAAGAAGGAATTCCCCATTTATTTTACCGCATCTTAACATTCTGTCTTGTACAGAACTCTACTCGTCCTATCAGGCATGGCATCGTCGCCTGCGAGTGGCTGTCGCATCTGGAGATTACTCCGTTGTCCAAAGTTTGTTGCCACCAGTGCACACGCTGGCTCAAGGCGCGCAGTTCGACTTGATTACCACAGATTCGACCAACTCACCCTCAGGTAAGTATCCTCGCGTTTGTGGTTCCTATTCCTCGATGCTTCCTTTTCGTCGCTTATGGGATGTGAAGTTAGTGAACCGCGTACTGGGAAAAGGGTGTACGTGGGATAAACCGTACTAGGCTCTGATTCCTGAAACTCCCAGGCCGTTGACCCAGGTACAATGAGTAACCTGACGATGTAGCTCTTCCTTCACAGCGGTAAGCAATGTTACTTGACCTAAAGTGTGCTGCTTCATGATTTCCAATGTGCTATCTTGCGAAGCAATCGGTAAGACATCAATTGGCCTTCCAAGGCAATTGCAAAACCTGGCCACTTTCGGGTCGTCGGTGCACTGCCGATGAGCTGATGCAACCCTGGCTTCGAATATCTGAGATCCGTTTCCTTCACAGATCTCTTTTCACCTAGCGACGTACAGAACCGAAAATCAGTAAGCCTGGCGGCGCTGACAACCATTGTCTGTCTGGATGGGGATCCCCAGAGAACCTACCCAGGATTGGAGGCGCTGACATAGTGTTCCCGTTCTTCTATCACTCCTGTTGCCTCCGATGCGTGACTCAACATTCCCAGCTTCCTTTCTTTCTGTCTTTCTCCTCTGACGCTCGATCCTCTCGCCCCTATCCACTTTTCGTCAGTTTACAAAAACTATCAGCCATAATCGTCGCGACTCCCTGGCTAGGGGTTTGAGCAATGGACCGTTTGACCAATAGCGGCTCATCAACAGTGATTAACTCGCAGTTATACAGCATATAGCGCAGCTCGTCCATCGCATCCGCATCACGTGATCACACATGTTGACTGGCTTTACGATCGACGACTTCTCAGATGGAAGTCTCACTCATCGGTTGAATTTTATTTTTCCTCCAAACTACTTATAAATTGTTGGTAGTGTGAGAAGATTTGGGAATTTTGGTGGAGATTTCGTCCGGATTCTCTTGGTCAATCACATCTAATGAATGGAACGGCTACTTTAGTTTGGAGTCGCTGGGATGTTAAATTGCTAATTGTTGCGGCTTTCTTTAAATGCTTCACTGGATCAGTAGTACTGATTATCAGCGTTTTTGCATTGGACTCTTGTCCTGAATTCGCAATTTTTGCCCAACCAAACCATCCACGTATTACCGTTTATTGTGTGGAGCGTCTCCGAGCGGGGACTCCAAGTGCAATAAAATTGTTCGAGTATTCACTTTTCGCTTTTAGTCGTTCAGGCAACTGAAAGTTGCACGATGTCATATGTTCGGCCTGCTTACGAAACCATAGGCTGTCAGAACGGAACCCACAGCCCATTGAGATCTTCGGTGGGGGGACCAGAACCACACTCAACGATTCGATCCACTCAGTCGTCCACCCAGGACTTGAGGCGGAATCGAACTGCGAAATCACGATCCGACTGTTTTTTTCCAACTACTCGTGATGAAGGGTCAGGCAGATAGTCATACTTCATTGTTTCATATCACAGTAATCGGTTTCTGGGTCTGCATCCGCCTATGCGCCTCTCGTTTGCAAGAATAAAATTTATCATGGCAATCTCACCCATTTTCGCCTTCTCTAGCTGCAGGTCGAAGCCCCACAACTGATGGTTCGATTCCTCCCCCGGACATTTGTCTACGACTACTGAATCACTCGCTAGCCGAGGGTCGTACACTTCTCCACGTGGCTGTTGAATTTCAAAATGAACCGGACGTGCTCACTCTGCTGCTCGAAAGTGGGTGTGATCCGGCTCTGCTGTGAGTTTTTTCGCGGTGTGTTTCCGTTCTCACTAACCGTTGTCTGTGATATCGAGTATAGTTTTTTTGCGATGCCTCGGGATTTTACAAGAATCGCATAGAAATCGATCGCCAGCATCGTCATTTTCAGCTGTAAATACCGTGTATTTCATCGTCATTATCAGCTGTAAAAACCGTGTATTTCTCGTACAGTGGTTCCATCTGCCACAATTTCGTCCACCGGTGATTTCCACCTGTGATTTGAAGAGGTGGGGTAGATAGCTGCGCATTGCAGGCTGATAAATTGGTGTGTAAATACAGCACTGTCAGTGGACTGTTAAGTTGGGGGTTGGGAAGGGAGCTATGCATTGCAGGCAATAGCTTTGATGGACGAGCGCCACCGAAGGTGCGACTGGGCCATATCTCCAACCATTGATGTGGCTCCTTTTCGGGTTCCCCATCCAAGGAGACGGCAATGACCAGCACAGCTGAGTTTGCTAGTCATGGTTCTCATGATTCGTTGCCAAGTCATTGTTTTACCTCCCCTGGTTCGTTTCCGCCCTTCGCCTAGGGAGCGCACGGTAGTCCAGTAGCTGCCCGTTTGAGTTTCCATCCGGAATATATGGAGGTTTTTTCCTGGTGTTTTAGATTTCCTTTGGGGCCAGATAAATTTCTGTTCACACCACTATCGTTTGAACGGTCTTCATCCTGTCCCGATGGAAGTACGAAGCTAGAGTTTCTCTGTTATTAGATCGTTGACTTCCCCGCGCTTCGAGTTTCGAACGTCTGGCATGTCAGATGAGCATGTTACCACTGTTAGGAGGAAAGCCCTTTACCGTGGAATTAATTATTAGGAAACCAGACAAATGGTTACAAACTACCCATCAGGAAAGTAAACATCTCATATGCACCTTATTTTTGAAAACTGAACATCTTCACACGTCTTATTGAACTCTCGTGAATATTCATTGCCTATCACGCAATTGTAAATGAACGCTGAGAGGCATTTCCGCAGGTTCCGTACTAAACCCCACGGGGGTACACCTCCTATCAGACTCCAGGCGGAGTTACGAGAAAACCACCCACTACTCGCATGCCTCAGTAGCCGCACTTACACCAGTACACACTGGACGCACCTGAATTATCACGCCTGCGTAGATAAAGTGTACCCGTTTGAGCAGTGTGGTTGGTTTGTGTCTTTAACAGTAGCTCTCTCGGAAGTGTTTCCGGGTTTTGCAGAGTTTATCATCCTACACATCACTCGTTTGAGCAGTAGTCCTCTTTCTGTCTGGCATCATTCTTATGATTGATATGACCTACCCGGAATAATTTTGCCTGTACATGATGAGAACTGTTCAAACGGGAGTAAAAAAATGGTCCAGCTGCAGCACCTTTCGGTGCCTAGCTGCCATGCTACCCGAGGGCTGCACGAGGACTGGGATACTGCCTGGTTGCCCAAGCCCAGACAGGGGAAGCCGATAGGCAGAGCTCGGGTTAGAACCATGGACCCTCCGGTCAGTAAATTCGCGCTCTAACCACTGAGAAATCACGTGCCTAATTCACTCGGAACAAACGATTTCGGGATTTTTTCCAGATTAGCCTCGCCACTAATTCAAAAAGTGCGTGTGCGGAAAGTTAAGCCCCATCCCACTCTTTTCCAGCTCCAATTTAATGTACGCACATAACCTTAACCTATTTTTGACGAAAACAATTCCTTATCCGCATCTAGGCTCATTTTGTGCAAAACTTTTCTCCGTTCGGACGTAAAACCTTAAATGACGCTTTCAACTCTCATTCATGACGAGGAGACGGCAACACGTTTTTGCAAAGCCACGGAGTGATCCATCAGCAATGTTCGTGCAACAATGGACACCAAATGACACTTTCAGGTGTTTCTGACAGGTGAAGGTGTTGTTACGCTCGACAGTGTCGGCAAGAAATCGGTCTTCGAAAGGAAACTTGGTTGGAGTGGTCTAGGATGGAGTTTAGGACAGAAATTCTATTCATTAATTACTGCTCCAAAAATTTGCCAAAGATCAAACTCCGCTCAGAAGAATTATTCATTAGCCACATGGACGCTGTTGACTGGAAGAACTTTCTTCGCGAAGTTTGCGCCTGGCGGCGGCTTTGCAGACTCCAACAGTTATTGGCGGCCCAGGTCTTCACGTCAAGATAAATGAAACGTTAATATCTCGCCGTAAAAACCAAGCCGGACGAGTTCTTCCCCAGCAGTGGATTCAAGGAGGGATCTGCCGGGTCGAACTGCGGCCACTTTGCTGGACACAATCCAAACCTGCATCGCTCCCAGCTCAGTCATCATCTCCGACATGTGGGCATCATACCAAGGAATTTAAACGATGATTGACATGAACTATACTCATGAAACGGTTAATCATACTGAAAATTTTGTGGATCCAACGACTGGAGCTCACACACAAATCATCGAATCTCTTTGGCAGGTCTACAAATTGCAGAATAAACGCCAATGCGCCACACACTGATCTTTA